TGTGTACAAATAGGAAGCAGGATTGTGGACTACTTAGGATCACTTAAGTTACCCTTAACCTTCTGCCTCTTGAAATTAGGATCCTCCGTTGATGTGAAGCCTCTTTTGAATTTTCACTATAACAGGACTCCAAATGTCTTTTCTACCATGATTACCACCAATATTCAGTAATTTGATTGTGTTCCATGAGTTTTTTAAGAATTTGGAATACATCTAAAGCCAGGAGCTTTGTTACTACCAAAGCTAGAAATTGCATTGAAAACCTCTTGCTCCAATGAGTTCTTGTTATCTGTGAATTCAGATGATGGAGAGCTGGAGGAATTTGGGTGCCTACTGGATGTCCAAAATGTAAGTTATCCCACAGAAAGCAAAGATAAAAAACGCTGGTCCCACCAACTTTTAGGAGTAACTCTGCCATGTCCCTATTCATTGTTGGAACTAACCGATTCCAACACCTGATGAGTGGAGAACGTGGTCTGGAACAAGGAAGGTTAAGTTTTTTATGTGGACCATGTGTCATAAGGCTTAATTACGGCTGACAAAATTTAGATGAGATGTCCAATATTGTATCATGATGCTGAAGAAAACTGCAAACATTTTTTTTTCACTACCGTAACAGTTACAGCAGAAATTGTTGGGAATTCTTGCTTAAACAACTCCAGATTTTCTCATACCTATGATATTGTTTCTTCCTGAAGATTGTCCATTGAACTATCTTTTGAAGCATTGAAATCACGGGTTTTGACCAAGTTACAGGAACAGAGGCCACCAAGGTCTTCCAACTCTTGCCCAAAAATCCTCTCTTTCTGAAGGAGCTCTAGAATCAACACAGATAGAAAAGGCCCCTAAACAACCTCTTTGATATGAAGAATATGAATCCAACAAATTAGAATATGTTTCCAAGAACCAACTTATCAAAATATGTCCGGGCGATCTGTCTCCAATAAGAGTTAACAGACTTTATCCACAGCCACAACTTTGCCTTTGGCAGTACTACAAAGTCTGGATTACCCTCTAAAATGAAAATTTTGATCAAGCATCTCTCTTCTTACAGGCCCCAAGCTCTGTAACATTCCAACTCAATATTCTCATTGATTCTCCATCTTTCTTGGGCTTCACTGGTTTTTCAAGCCCCAATCGTAATAATTAAGAGAGCTGATTGAAGGAATGATTCGCTGTATTGTAATATCCTGACTGATCTATATCTTGGTGGAACCGTGGAAGTATCTAATTGTAGGCTTGTGTATATCCCTAAATATTTCTCTCTCCGCTAAAATAATCTCAATTATATTGTTTGGAAACAAAATAAACTCTAGGGAACAGGCATATCATTAGTCAGCACACGGATGCGTTGTCTATTCTTTCCCTCATCCTTGTGCTTAAGAATGGCTATTTGCATGTGTTTGGTAGTACTTTAAGGAACATATGAATAATAAAATTAGATTGATGTGGGATGTATTTTGTCACTTCTTTCTTTAACCTTCCCTTGAAGTACCTTGTTCAAACTAATTGGACGAATTAGCATAGGACCTTAGATTGTATCTTAGCTAATCACTGCACTTTCTGACTCTGAACATTTTTTTCTTTCCCGGAAAATGCAGAAGAACTGGAACCTTTTTAGTGTCAATATTGCGATGGCAGGGACTGGCATCTACCAATTGACAAGAAAAATACAGTAAGTGATCACTTATTTATGCTCGTTTAAAAAATAAAAAAATAAAAAAACTAAAGGCATGGCCTGGTGGGGTGTGGGGATTTTGTTGTGATCTAAATTCTAGGATAATACTAGCTTTAGGTTTAAGTTATTGACACATTCAACTTGGAGCCTAAATTATGAAGATAAGCCTAAACATGCATTTGGATCTTTCAACTACTATATTTTCAAATCAATCATGTGCATCTATGCCAATAGTTTCAAAATATTATTTTTAATACTAATCTCAGAATTGGTATCGATAGAGAGAACTCATGTCCTGGAAGTTTGCGATTTTGTTTTATAGGCAAATTCTGCTCTTGATGTAAACTGTTGCACTTTATTGAATGCAGAACCTAACATATTCAAACAGAATATTCTTATAAAAAACAGACAATATATGAAAGATTATTTCAAAAAATTGTCCTCATTAACATAATTTACCTTGGAACTTTGCCTAGTTGTTTGTTGGATATTTTTGGGAGGATAGAGATTCTTCCATTTATCCTTCCTTTCCATAATCTTCACTTTTCATGATCATTTCATCTGGAAATGTATCAGGCACGATTATTTCTCTGGGGAAGAAGTAGCTGCTGCAAAAGAATGATGACGAAATATGAAATTTCCCTTGCAGTGATTTGTGATGTACCATCTGATCTTCTAGCAAAGGCTCTATAACTCAGTCTTATCTCCTTGATTTTACTTTTGTAGTTAAGCTTGAAACTGTTGGGAAAATAAATAAGATCCTGATTCAGGCAACACCATCCTCTTTATGAAACGCTTCTGAATCCATGAGTTATGGCAATTGTGCATTTATCACATCCATGCTGTGCAGGTTCAAATTTCAATGGCCGTTTGAATTTTTTAGATGTAATATTTAAGGTTAAATTATATGTTTGTTGCTTCAATTTTGAAGTTATTCAAAGTTGAGTGGAAGGACTGAGACACGAAATCTTTTTAATTCAATAAATATTGGATGAGTCTGAAGATAATTGGTGTTTATATACAAAATCATGCTTAGATGGCAAAGGTTCAAAGATTTATTCCGATTAAATATAATATTATTGAGAGTTTTAAAATCTATAAATTTGATAAATTTCGAAGAAATTGCTATATCCTCTAATCAAATGGGAGAAATGGGTGGATATTCTGATGGCTCAAAAGGATTTAATGAAAAGAAAATTGATTAAGTTGGGGGTGGGAATTCGAATTCTCAATTTTGGTTGGATATATGTGCATTAACTTGTTGAGTTATAGTCTAGTTGGTATTGTAGACAATTTATCATGTCACAAACCATTCTCAACAATTGCAAACATGAGCTTAGCTCAACAATCAACATAAGTTTAAATCATTTAAAGGTCAATTGACATATATCTCTTACCAAAAGGTTTTGCATTTAAATCTTCCCACCCCATTTATTGTACTAATAAATAATAATAATAATAATAAATAAATAAATAAAAACAATTCTCAACCGACATAAGTTTAGCTTAACGATAATTGACACGATTAAGAGGTCATGAGTTTGGATCTCCCACCCTCAAACGTTGATAAAATTTGTAACCAATTTGTAACCAATTATTTAAATGAGATGGTTGTTTTAACTTGTTAAGATGTTTGAAGTTTTTCCTAGAACTGTTAAAATTGGTGCTTCCTCTATCTTGCAGCAACGGCATATTGGAGTTCATTTCTTCTCATGGATGAGACAACAGTGAGTAATAATTTCTAGCCAAAATTGAACAGAGAAATCAGGCATGGTGGTTGGAAGGGACAAGAGAAGGAAAAAAGAAAACATCATATATTGATTCAACCAGCAGGGATTCCGAGTCCATAAAACAAAACATTAGACACTGAAATCAAATTAAGACTAAAACCTCAACATCTGCATAATAGTACACAATCCCTTCAGCTCTCATCATTACAGTTTCTACGTCCCGTAAGTTATGAAGCGCCCGGAAAATATCGATATCAAATCTCGAGGATAAAAGAATTGGAACTGTATATGTTCTGTGACAAATCAAAATTAGCTCAAATAAGCAAGCATACTAAAGAGTATTAGAGAACCATATGGTTCCAGGATTAGCAGAGATCTGGGGATGTCATAACTCAGTTCCAACAAGAGAAGGACGAAACTGCAGCTGCTTGTAAGACGTTGAAGACGGGTCCAAGCAATGAACACACCTTTTAGGTCAGCCCCTCCTCTTGCCATCTCTAATGTGATCAGCTTTCGAACCAGTTTCACCGTCGTCGTTGAGAGCATTCAAGTTCAGACTTAAATCCAAAGTACTTTCATTCAAATCTTGGCGAACTGCATGATCGTTGTCCTGAGACCAAAAAAGCCGACCAGAATAGGTTTGAAACATTAGAAAAATATGAAGCTTAATAGCCAAAGGTTTCAGGTTACAATGTCAATGCCATTACAGCCAAATAATTGTAGTGTTCTTTAGCTAATCAGTTTCTATCGAGCATATGGAGCACTTTGACATTGTAGAAACAATTTACCTGACTTTCTTCCATTGGCACATCATTAATATCTGGTTTCTCATCTAGCAGCTCGCCCTTGGCATTTGCCATTGGTTCAACATCATATGATTTGTTGGCTTCATCTTCAACTTTATCAGAAGCTTCATTTTCTGCAGCCTCGTTTTTCTGTTCCTCTAACACAGCAATCTGTACATGAAACAGACAAATAAATGCACTTTCCAATCCCCAAACGTCCATTTAGAACTTAAGGACACAGTTATACAACCTGTAGAACAGATCCTGTTCAAATAAGGTCGTTTACAACCCCCGAACGTTTCACTAATTTATAACCTAAAGAGAGATGTAAAGATGTGCCGAACCCCATACCTCCCACGACCTATTTAAACTCACAAAAAGTTTCTGTTTTGGTCCACCTATATAAGCTACAGCAAAATAAATGACTTGCTATAGTAAGCAATCCTTATCCCAAAATGTTGAGTTGAGACCAAGACAACTTAATCATCTTGCCAAGGCTCGCCTCTAGACCAAAGAGATGCTAAAAAGCCTGCCACAAATGACCCCACACCTTTGTAGCAAAATGGAAACTCACAAGTGATTCGGATTTTGCAGCAACACATTTACACAAGCTACACCAGTTGGGTCGAGGAGAGCCTCAGAATGAAATCTGAAGTATTAATGATCCTAGGGACTACCAAGAAAATATATGAATTTTCTTTGAGATCTTCAACCTTCAAGTTTGAAGAAGAAAAGAGAAATTGAAGAAAAAGGGAAGGAAACCAACTCAATGAAGATTTACAAGCAGAGGGTACCAAATGGATCAACAGACCACACAGACAATCACCTGACAAGGAAAGAGGTTAAGTCTTTGAGATAATAGAAATGGAGTTCTTATAACATTGCAACTTCTCTTTCTATATATCATTTTCCGCTGTTTCTTATCAATATATGTGTGTGTATATATACAACGGTACAAACAATGCTGTTAAAAAGGTATGTCCTATAAAAAATAAGTGTTCTTGTTAGCAGAGGTCATTACAGCATTAAAAACTATAATCATTGCAACTGTTAACAAAGTATCTGGTTGTTAGCTGAGTTTATTAGAGCATTAAAAAATAGGTTTAAATCGTACGTTGGTTCCCGTACTTTCAGTTTCATACTTTCCAGCTTCAGCTTCCGCTTCAATCTATTTTGATCCCTTCCCGTAATTTTCTAATGTCCATTTTAGTCTATTCCCTCTACTTTCAACTTTTGTTCATATTAGTTTATGTACTTTCAAGGTGTTTGTTTTGATTCCTACACTTTTAAAAAGTGACCATTTTGGTGTGTAAAATCATAACACAAATTCTATACACAATAAAAATCTTTTAATACATGATGGCAATATTTCAAGAAATTAATCGAGTGTTGAGGTGAAACTGTGATGGACAAATAAGATAAAAAAGAAAACAAAGAACCAAAATAGTCAGACCAAAATGGATGTTTGAAACTTGAAGTACAAAGACCAAAATGGACGTTGAAAGTACAAATATCAAAATAGACAAAAGTTGAGAATGCGAGAACTAAAATATGATTTAAACCTAAAAGAGGAATAATAAACAACCATCGTACTTGTTGTCTAAAGTTTTGAATTCATCGAGCGATTGGAAATATTCCAACGGAACCGAGGGAGGCTGCTTAACTCTTTCCCAGGCAATCCTGTCAAACATCCAACTCCTATTCCCTCTTTAAGGTCCTTTATAAGGTTACTCATTATTTGGAGAGAAAAGTTCGAAGCTCCATATGTGGTGGAAGTAGCCATAAAGGGGGAAATCACCTTATTAATTGCTTTGAATTTTATCACAAGTCCTAGTTTTTTAAAACAAGAATGGTCATATGTAAACCTCGCATTCTTTTAGGTAACCAGCCTTCCAAATTGCCTTACATATTAGCATTGAGAACACCTCTCCACTACAAAATTTACTGGGAAACAAATCATCAGAATGCTGTCCATCTATCAAGAGGCTACCACCACCACAAATCTCGACTGTGAGACTCTGAAAATTACATCTATGTTGTTGAGTTACCTGTTGAGACCCCAGTCTTCTCTCTCCTGACAAGACCTACCTAAAGGACCACATGACCTCCTAGTTGGGTTGTAAACAGTAAGTTCCAAAAACAATGACACATGCAACATCTGAAAAATAAACCTTTGCTGTTATAAGGCAAGGCTAAATAACCTCAGAAAGGAGCTAGCCAAGGGACGACTCTCCACCCAATAGGCCTCAAAAAGCAAGTACTTATCACAACCTTCTTTTTTCGAAAGGCAACCAACGAAACAACCACATGCAATCATCGTCAAAGCAAGCCCACCTCGAGTTCGACTCGACATCCCGTGAGCGTCACCCCCACTCGATGGAAGGACGTGGATCTCCGTCTGATCCGACTGGAAGCCGTTGGGGTGTGGGCGACATCGACAATCGACATCACATATTCCAACGTCCAGCAAGAGATCTGCCAATTGCCCATCCCGCCCACGACCGACGCCGACGCCCGAGGCCCAAGCATGCCACCACCCCAAACGGGGTGGAAAAACTCGTTTGGAGCTCGAGAATCAACCTTGGAGCGGATACAAGGAATGGAGAGCAACATCGCAACATCCCACGCCCAACGAGGCTCATACCCTATTATAAAGACCAGATTGTTTATTATGTCTTAATCAGTAACGCTGGTCATATCCTACTTTGGATGCCCATGGCAATTAAATAAACGATTAATTCATATAGGAATAATACATATAAACTTAATTGGATGGGCAAAGAGATAGTGATATTATTCAACAAGAGAACAAAACCTACTACCAAGGCACCTTTTTCATTATTGAGTTTCTAAAAGGATGGAATTGGTATTAGTAACCAAAGGAAATCATCAGCCTACAAAAGCTGATAAAGAGGACTCAAATCTTTATGCCGTTTTGTTAGATCATGGAACATCAGAGGTCTCCCTTACATCTTCAGCAAATTGAAATCTCTCCTTCCGTAGAAACCTAAAAGAAGAAAAATTCCAAGAGTGATTATCTTTAATGGGCAGCTTTGAGGGTATTTCCAACCCAAGTAGAACAGACTCTTTGATGCGGTCTACTGATTCACCAGGATTTTGAGCGTTAAATCTCTCCTCAATGGCCTAAACTCATCTAAATGGGTACTTAATCACAATACAAGCTCCATTGTTTGGAAGACTAGAATCCCAAGGAGAAGATATTTCTTTGGGAGGTGCTTCTTGAAAGTATAACACTGCTGAAAAACTATGAAGAAAGATGCTGGCTTCACCCTCCCAAACGTGTATATTAAGTAGAAAAGAGCCAAGAAATCCCAAGACCATTTGTTCTTTCACTGTGACCAAGCTTACAAGTTTTGGAGTATGTCGTTTCCTTCCTTTGGGTGGTCTTCTTCTTTGAGTCTCTAAGCAGCTGATAATATATTTTTCTCTCTTCTCCTTAACCACCACTTCAAGGATATGAATGGAGTAGTTTGACTTAATTTCATTCGGAGCTTCTTTTGGTGTATTTGGATTGAGAGGAACCTAAGACTTCTTTAAGAAAGATAGAGATTTCCTGTTTTTTAATAATGTCATCTTTATTACAGCTTCTTGGTGTAAGCTTATCAAGCTTTTCTATAGTTATTCTGTTCCTGATTTTTCTTTTAGTGTAATCGGAGGGTTGTTCAATAACCTTGGATACTATTTTAATTGCCAATGAACCAATAGAGAATGGAGATAGAATCAAGAATAAAGAAGTGATTTTCATGCTAGACCTTGAGACAGCCTATCATAAGGTGGATTGGGTTTCTTTCAAAGGCAAATTTCACGGAAAAGGGTTTTGAAGTTTGATGGAAAAATTAGATCCAGGATTTTTTTTCCTCTCTTATAAAAAGCCCAAGCTGGAGCAAAACAAAATAGAAACAGAAATAATTAGTAGGAGGAAGGATAATTGATAATTACAAATATATATATATATATATTCAAAGAAAATAACCAAAGAGAGACATTGGCTCACTCCAAATATCTTCTCAACCTCTACACCCTTTGAAATTCTCTTATTTCTCTCAAACCAAATATTCTCGATCATAGCAAAGAACATAATCAGCCACAAAAAACAACTCCATTATGAAAGGAAGGTGAAGAAGCACCCCTTCTATCCTACCCCCAACAATCACTGCTAGAAGCCAAACGCACACTAAAGATCTTAAGATATTTGTCCCAAATTTTAGAAGAAAATTTACATCTTCACAACATATAATTCAGGATATCTGACGCCTAATAGTACAAAACACAACAATTGGACCTCAAACTAAAGGCAAATATCTCTAAATGAAATCTGTGGCTTTGATCCTTCACGAGACAACCAGCCAAGAGAAATTTTACTTCTTAGGGATTTTAGTCTTCCAGAGGTTTGGTGAAGAAAAGTGAAGACAAAAATGAGGGTTGAGCAATGAAACAAGCACAGAAAGCTTTGCACGAGGTCCTTAAGAGCCCAAGGGTCAAGGTGGGCACCATGTAACAAGAAGAGCAACGAAATTAAGTTCATAGACTCAAGATCAAAAAGATCTATGGAAATGGAAGTTATGAGAAAGGGAAGGAAAGTTGTCATCTCACAACAGAATAGAATTAACAAAGGCATATTGCCGCAAAGAGAGGTTCTAAAGGTAGGTAAAAAGGTTACAGAGGATTTCACTATCATTCCAATAATTCCTCCTAGAATAAAAGGCGGGACTCAATGAAATGGCTTTTCAAGACTCTTAAAAGTGCCTTGTGCCATAAAATAAGTAATCAGATCAAGAGACAACTGAATCCACTCATGTTAATTTTATGCCACAAAGAGAAGTATCAGATTCTTGAGAGAGAAGCACCAAAGCTACTTTGCTAGGAAGGCAACAGTTCTTTTCATCAAATTCTCGAAGGCCCATCACATAGCTTAGACACACCCAACTAACTAGATGATCACGAGACTGTCTTCCCTCCTCTAGTAAAAAAACAACTCGATAACCTCTCAAACTTGAAGCAAACTAAAGACGTAATCCTAAAGAAAAGAATCTGTCGAGGATGTAAACATAGTCCTACATTGCTTAGAAGTGCGGAAGTTTCATAGTATATAAGAATAGACAAAAACTTCCTAGATACAAGGCATATAGAGTGGGAGAAAAATAATCGTGCAGACTTGTATCATACTATTGTAGAAATATGGAGAAATCCATTGCGTTCCAACAGAGAAAATAATTAGGAACCCCCTTAAGGATCTACTGGATGACGTTAGTTTACCACGCTTAAAAGGAAAAAGAAAAGGGTTTTCTTCACGAGCTAAAGAACTTCTAACATTTTTCAACCACAGGGACCCAACAGGAGCAAGCCCTAGGGTTATGCCCCATCGGGAGGCATTAATAGGACATGGGCAACTTAGAATGTGGCTAAGGTGTAACTTGAAAATTCTCCACAACATAACACAGTCCACATTCTTACTCACACATTTGCCCACACGCATACTGGGGCACTCACATGAAATTCAACAGACCAACCAAGCCACAGGGAAAGCATTCAAATTTTCAAATTCAACAACAAACCCAGATCACCAAACAGCAAAAAAAGAAAAAATGACGGGTACCGGCATGTATTTAAATTTCCGGCGAGGAGGCTCCTCAACCACCGGTGGGGTCTCTTCTTTTCCGGCGTTCTTGTCGTCAGTGTTGCCATTGTTGAGACTCTGGGTAATTGGCGTCCACTTGTAGAGCAAAAGATGTGAAGCGTTAGTCCCATTGGCAGTGGCAGTGGCAGTGGCAGTGGCATTGGCGTTGATGGTATTGGCGTTGGTGTGGCGCTGGGAGTGGGAATGGGCGTTGGATGCGGCGCTGGACGGCGCAACGTGGACCCATTTCTTCTTCCACTTCCTC